TACCTGAAGGTAATCGCACTCCTCCACAAAGAAGTGCAGCCTGTCCTCCAGCTCCTCGAGCACCGACCCCTGGAGGAGAGACTCGCCCTGGCCGAAAGCCTCCAGACGGTGAGCCTCTCTGAACGGCCATAAAAGCAAATATAAATACCTCATAACTGTAAGTCAGCAAGTCTCAAGAAGCCTTTTTAAGTGTGGTGGAGAAGCAGTTGTGGGTATGTTTTAGATCTTTATTTCATACTGTCAACCAATTTAAGAATTTAAGAATAGAATTAATTTAGAAAACTAACTGAATGTTCTTTAATTTTATTCTAAAGTATTCATGTTTCGTCTAATTACTTTAATAAAACATAAAAATGACAGCTTGGATACGTGAAGTTGTATAATAAACTTGTTTATACATTTTCTGCCTTTTCTTCCATACTGACCCACAGAGAACAGTCAGTTTTAATCCTGATTGTGAGGGAAGGCTGACATCTAGTGGTGAAACGCAGGTGAGGGCCTTCCACTCTTATTTTGTGGTCTAATATATAAAATGTTTTCTCTGTCATAATAATCTCGATCTGGAAAAACTTCTTTGATGACAACATACAACAGTTTGCATAATGAGGTTTGGAAAATATTGGGAACATTTCCCAAACATTTTAAGCTGTTTCGATGAGATGTGACAGGAAATTCTGCACCTGCAGTTTTTATGTTGAAGTTATGGCTCTGACTCCTTTAGAGGTTCAAAGTAAGAAGCATCAACAAACTACAGGTAATGTTGCACCCGCCTTACCCATCGTGGTTGTACTGGTGGATGACCGAGATGGTCCGAGGGTGCAGGTGGATCCTGAGGAAGTCAGACCACACCTTCACGCTGCACTCCAGCCTGTAGCTCTTCTGTACTCTAGCCAGGTGGCTGTTCACTGTATCCACACTCAGTGACCTTGCTGCTGGGAGAGATTGTTGTTTTTTTTTTAAGCTCATGTGATGATTTTGGTACAGAAACTTGTTATTTCATGCACGTTTGGTTGAGAGGTTTTCATACCTGAGCACTGAGGCTGGGAGCTGGAGGGAAAATCAGCCTCTGCGAGTATCTCCCCTTTCTAGACACAAAGAACAGAATGACGGGCTCAACTCTTTGGAGACGTCTCTATTGAGCTATTTTATTTCTGGAAATTTGCTCTCGCACAGCCAGTTTCATCACTTATTGCATTCTGTGGATTAATTTGGGAAGCTATGACACACAGCAGTGCGTCCTTATTTATTACTTACTTATAGGGATTTTTACAAAGAGAGAAAGCAACGGTGATCTGTAACCTGGTCGCAGTCAGTGATGACACGCATGTATGAGAGTCCCTTCAAGCAGTCCAGGGCATGACACGCTTCGACCCGACTATAACTGTAATGTGTGTGTTTGTTGTGAAAATCTCTTTGTGTTAGTTTTCATTTCTACTTGAAATACTCACATCCAACTTATCAAGGTCTTCAAGGAAGGAGTTCTTTGCAGGAGGACTTTCTTCGTGCATAGTGATACTTCCATCCCTGCCAAATTTAAAAAAGTTTTCAGTATATACACTAAATATGAACAGTCTTAGGACCAGTGCATGTAATAAATGGATTAGTTAAGAATAATGGCGACTGTCAGTGCAACCCCTTAGCCTCCTAGCAGATTCACCTATGTATCAATTACAAAGTCCTACATTGGCTCATTTTCATGTCATCGTATTCACAAAGTGTACATACCACCTGCCCAGTGGGGTGACTACAAATACTCATTCCTTTTATCACCACAGGGTAAAAAAGGGATATGCTATAGGATTTGATTTGCCCTATAGATAAATAGATTTAAATGTAGATAAATATCCATATGTAAACAAATAAACAGACAAAAAAAACAAAAAACAAAACATGTGACAGTGTTGAAACCAGAAAACAACACAAATAAAATTTGTTATACCACGCAGAAAACAAATAGAGAGGGTCTTGTTTACCATGTGACAGCAGACGTGTCCTTGCCTGCATCGTACAAACTTCCCTCCTGTCGCAGAGTACGAAGACTTCCTGTTACAGAATGAGAGAAAGACAGTCAGAATTCACCAAAAAAAACAAAGAACAACTTTGTAACAAGTGCTCTAAATTAATGCTAACATATTATATTTCAGTCAGTAAACTGGACAAAGTAAAGACACAAAGTTTCCAGTATTTCTAAAAGCAAGTTACCTTTGAGATCCATGGCAATGAGTCGTGGTGTGTAGGTGACGTGGCCGCCCAGAGTCTGTCCTTCACGAAACACAACATCGCTCTGGATCTCACCTGGCGGTGTCTCCGGATCGTATGATAAAGATGCATCCTGCAAACAAAGAGAGGAGCACCTCTGTTTATCTGCTAGCACGGTCAAAGCGATCGAACAATGCTTACAGAAATTCACAAAGTAAACGTATCATTGTTAACAATCAACAGTCCCGTTCATGAATGTATATACACAACAGGTTGACAGTAAGGTGCAACCCACTGATTACATGGTCGAACAAGAACACCAGTTTAGACTTCACCAGAAAACATTTAAAAGAGCACAAATCTGGGGGGGAAATGAAGAAATCTATGCACAGATGAAACCTAGATCAACTTGAACCAGAACACTGGAAGAGAAAAGTAAGGAGAAGGAGAGACACTGATTGTCATCCCAAGCATACCACAGTATCTGTCAAACATGGGAGAGGCAGTGTCGTTGCATGGGCACATATGGCTGACAGTGGAACCAGGTCATGAGTGTTCGCTAATGATGTGACTTGACAAAAGTAACAGGATGGATGCTGATGTGTACAGGCATGTACTTTCTGCTCAGTTGAGCCAAAATCTGGAAAATTTATTAGACAGCACTTCACAGTGTAAAAGAATAATGACCCCAAATCATCCTGCAAAAGCAACCTTAAGTATTCCTCCATGACCAAGTCAGTCACCTGATTTCAACCCAAGTCAGCATTTTTATTTTTTAGCTACTGAAGACAAAACAAAAAGCAGAGAGACCGACAAACAAGCAGCAACTGAGGGTGGCTAAAGGAATAGCTTGATATAGAGCACCTAAAAGGAGATGGGGAGAACAACACATTTGATGAGGTCCAATTTTGGATCTTTATCCATTTATTAAAAATAAACCTTATGTTTTGAAATACGAAAACTTTTTAATTGAGCTAGAGCCTTTGAAAATGGGGAGACTATATATAATAATATTTGCTTTAAATCTTGGACCAACAAATTATGGACCTAAATGCTCAGGTAACAGTTCTGAGTGTTTTTTATGAAAAGCTCGTAACAGTTTGCTAACCTGCTAATTCAGCAGCTTTAGCCACACAACTGTTGGCGGTTATGCCTCTGTTTATGGTTAATGCCATGCTGGTCAGTTTGACCATACTTCGTGTCCCAGTCTGTCAAACTGAGACTAACCAGAGCTAACGGTTCACAGCAAGCTCACAAGTTTGACAACACATGCACAGCTAACGTTAGCCAGCTAGCCTAACGTTAGCCTTGCACGCGCACTCCTCACCTGTAAATTCCACCAGTGAGTTCCCGCAAAGTTGGAGTAATGTCCGAGCTGGAGGGTGATCACCTCTCTGCAGAGGCTGCTCATCGTGACGAAAATCAACACGCAAGACAGAAGATAAAGCCCACAACTACGAACATGATGGGCATGTTTAGAATTGACGGCACTAAGAGGAGACGAGCTAGCAGCGGCGACGGCTGCAGGCCATTGGCTGACAGGAGAGTAAGACGAAATGTGATTGGATGGATCAGCGACGTCAGTATGATAGTTTGGTTTCACTGTGCCTTATATTCACGTGGGGTCCAACCATCCCGTACTACAGTACTGCGTGTTTGATTGTTTATTAGACTGTTTCAAACACTCAAAGAGTATGTGACAAATATTTATATTAAAACTCAGGCTTTTTAAAATAATGCAATAGTGAACACAATAATATGAGTTATGAGTAATAAATATGTTTATATACATTTTTAGGTAATGTGATGTTTGCTTTGAGAATGATTTGATGGACAAGTATAAAAGTAGAGGATGTAGAGAAATTATATGATAGGTGCACCAGCCTCAGAAATTCCTCTGCCACTTCTGACTTCAGTCAAACAACTAACTTTCTGGTTAAAGTTTAATTGTTTTGTTTTGTTTTATTGTTTTTAAATGTATGACATAAGTTTGTAGAAGGTTTACATTTGTGCTTTGTGTTTGTGTACAGCTGATGCAGAACCTTTCAGATAATTATTCAAATATCCACGCTCCCTGAACTTAAAGTGTTAATCAGGTTTTTAATTTTACGTTTTGTTTTTTAAATTTATTTATTTTAATGAAGTTTAGTTTCAAAGAGTTTCCTGAATGGATTTGCTTGATTTAGTTCCCTTTTTATAAAAACATGGCCAGGTACAAAAACGTAGATGAGAACACACATTTAAAACAAACCCTTTTTGAAGACAGCTGAATCACTGTCCAGTAGACATCAGAATTCTAAGCAAGCAAATACACTAAAGGCAAAACTAATAATTAAAAGTAATTATTTGTATATGTTTTGTCTTTTGGTTTATTTTATGAGCACACAAAACAATTCAAGATCCTGTTTTTCTTTCAGAAGTGCAGTTTTTATTTTTACTTCGGTTAACTAAGATATTATTCAAGTTTAAATTTCAGGTTTTAGTTATCATAATAATGGGATTAAAAAAAGGTATATTTTCTACTGTAGAATCTTTAATATGCTTATGATGGCATACCATTTGATGTGTAGGAAAATGTTCTGTGCAATTTATATGTCGCTTTTAACAAAGCGTAGCAGTCAAAGGCAAAAATAACTTTCAAACACAAAGTTATTTATTTTCCAGTGTCCATATGCTCTGCAGGAAGTAGTCTTTGTCTTGTTTTCAGGATGTTCATCTCATCAAAGTGTAACTCTTTTAAATCAGGTGTTTGAATGTGAGAGAAGACTGCAAATGAGCTGTCTGAAGACATTACAGAGAACTCAAATGTGAGCAGCTGGTTTTTATTAAAGTCACAGGGAGTGGTCGAACAAACACATTTGATGACTTTAAACTGTTGAATTAGGGTTTTAACTTATGAAGCGATGGATAAATGAGCAGTCCAGGCTAGTTGTAGGGTTTACTGGCTTCCACTGAAATAGGACACAAAGGACTGAAAAATGTCGCGCACATCCTGCATCTTCCCCTTCAGGGTGGATCGCAGGTTGTCAGTGGTGTCCTCAAGGCGATCTTTGATGTCCTCAGCTGTATTCTGAATCTTGAGCTTCATGTTCTCCATCTGAGACATCAGCAGGTCCTTCAGGGTGGTGATCTTTGTCTGGGCGTTGTCTCGCACCTGAGCAAAGTAAGGGTCCAGTCTAGTCTTCAGGTCCTCCACATTCTCAGAGGTGCGGGACTGAAGCTCCTCGAAATACTCTGTGACGTGTCTGAAAAATACATGTTTATATTTATATGCTTATTAATAGCTTAATCATTAAGACATTAAGTCAAACTGAAAAATAGACAAAAAAGTGGTAAAAGTTCCCACCAAGGTCAAATTCTTTCCTTCTTTCACACCAAAATGTTTCTTACATTTTAAATTCACCAGCTAAAAAGCATCAAATCCTAATATCTGAGCTGAGTTTGGGTTATTTCACCTGAATAATCCACTCACTGTCTGCTCCTTTGTTTTTCTACACTGTTAAAACCCCCCAAATGTTGTTATTTTTCTGGTGAGGTTGTCCCACTCACCTCTTGATCTCCTCTGTGTCCTTGCTGAGGCGCTTCTTCATTTTACGGGTGTAGGTGGCAATTCTGCCCCTGACGTCATCGGTGTTCTGCTCCATCATGGTCTGAAGCTCCTGGACGTACTTGTCCATCTGCTCTCGGGCCTCAGTCATGTGTTCACGGAGTTTGTCGGCCATGAGCTGCAGGTCTTTGCCCAGACGATCTGCGGCTTCTTGAGTGTAGGGAGCCAGCTTGGTCTGCAGGTCATCCTTGTACATGGCCAGCTCGGCCATGCTGTCCTGGATCAGGGTGCTGTTCATGGACGGGAGAGGAGATGGATCGGTTTAGAGGTTTTGTCTGTGGTTTTGATGCATTCAGGATCCAAAGGGGGTAAAGCACTGAATCATTTAAGATGAGTAGAAATATCAGCAGATTTTAATTGAAACACTGAGAAAGATTCGGTAAACTGTAGGACTAAAGCAAAACTCAGGAGACGCACAGGCCAAAGTTCAGCTCTCAAAATGTCTCACCTCACTGCAACCTGCTGATCAGACTCTGACACTCTGCTGTTATATAACAAAGCCAAGGCCCAGCACCATTTTGTTAAGAGCGTTTCTGATGTAAATTCAGTGTTTCTAAGTCGTGGAGTTAAACTTTAGTAACTAGATAGAAGCAATTTGTATTTAATTTATGAAGTGAAAATTTCTGTGAACTTAAACTTGAACAAAAATATTGAAATTAATGGTTGGCAGCTGAACTGAGACACTGACTGAGACAATTTATGCATGTTACTGTTTTATATTAATAAAGGATAAAATTCTATGAGCTGGATTCAATTTTTAATCACAATTTTAGTGATTTAAATGCAGCCGACAGCCGAGCAGCACTGATAAAAGTCAGTATGCTCGACTACGATTACAGGAATACTCGAACTCACTCCAGTTCTCTGCTGATCTGGGAGCTCTTGATGTCCTTCACCACTACATCAGCCTTTGAGTTCAGGTCCGTGATGTAATCCCTAAACTTGTCGACTGTGGTTTCCCAGCTGTCCTGCCAGTCCTGCTGAAGCAAGCTTCGTGCGTGGCAGCCTGGTTTGAACAAAGGAAAACATGTCAAATGGTCACTTTTGAATGGTTTTCCATCTTTGATCAAAAGATGCAAATTGTAGTATAAGGCTTTAAAATTATGTTTTAATTTGTCAAATCTGGGACCTATGGCAGCATTTAACTGTTAAAGGACAACTCTGATGACTAAAAAAGCTGCAGAATGCATAGTTTGTTTTATTCAGTATGTAACTAAAAGTTGAGTTGGTGTAGGCCACATTTTTGCAAAATAAAAGCCCCCAAATGTAACAGGAGCTTACATCTTACATCCTCATTTTCTTCTCACTCCTGTATCCTACTTTGCATCCACTTTTCTTTCTATTATTTGACCCTAAATAGACAATAAACTCACTTGAAAAGACCGCCAGTGCAAGGATTACTGCAAACACCCTCATGATGACCAGAGATTAGGACACCTGGAATATGATGTACAAAAAAATTTTAGTTACAAAAGACTAAAAAAATTCAAGAGACCGTTTATTGACAAATACATAACATTTTGTTGTCTAAATCATCTAACTCTCATTTGATTTGATTAATGAATCTAATAAGTATTCAAATATTTTGGACTGCAAAAAGAAATTCGACTTTTAAAGATTTCAGATCAGTAATCTTACCTCAGCGATCTGATCTGTGACGTCTGTGAGAACGACTGAGCTCGTCTCCCAGTATTTATACAGTTTGGGGGCTGTTGATGTAATCACATGGATGTCAAGAGGAATTCTGACCCGTGGCCGAAGTTCCCGACTGCGTTGTTGTAACTTTATTGCTGAGCGTGTCGTTTTGGCTCCACGTCGCACACAGAAAGGAGACGTGCAGACACAGGTCAGTAAACACTTTTAGACTCACGGCTTCCTCTCTGGATCTTCTGCTGAACTTGTGTTTGAGTTTGTTAACTAAAATGTGATTCTTTCAGCCACTCTGCCTCGAGCACCATCACATGATCAGAGAAACACGATTTTTGGTTTTCTTTTACCGTGACCTTTTCAGCCAGTGCCAGCTGACAGCACAACAATGACGAGGTTAAAGGTCGTTTTTTTGATATCACTGTTCACTGGATCTGGTTCAAAGTCTTCTTTAATTGCCACTGTGTTCATTTCTAGGACTGATATAAGATGGGAAACTTTCCAGTTAGCAAGTTTGACACAGAACAGAGCAAAGTTTATTGTCTGCAGATGTGGGAACTTACATGTAGCCTTCTTCTTATTAAATATATATGTAGAAAATGTGATACATTAAACATATAACATGCAAAAAAAAAAAAAAAAAATCAGAAAAGTCATGAAGATATCTACACTAATATACAAATATATTGCTTTACAAATATTTAGACCAAAAAAAACTTCTATTTTTATTTTCTATTTTTTATTTGTAAGAAGTCAGAAATTAATCAAATATGTCATTCAACCACTAAAACTATTTTTTCTGTTCAAGAATCGCACTAAATTACTGTCATTTGGCATCTTAATCGAAAAATAATAACATGCTTTACTGTTTTTTTCAGCTATTTTCTAAAATAGTAAATGTGAAAAATAATGGATAACAAAATTATTATATTTTAGCATTAAAAATATATAATCTTGATTAAAGATGTTGCACATACTGGTGGATAAACAAATATAGAAGTATAATATATTTTGGTAATTATGAGCATGTTTAACACTGCGGCATAAACCTTACAATAATACATTTGTAAAGCACTGTACAGTAACATTTATGTATTTTAGCATAAAGGAATATTGCAATCCAAGCACATTATGTGTAGTTGTTTGATTTATTTTTAACAGCCAAATAAACTATTAAATGTATTACTTCATGTTGACATTACTGTTTGAAATTGTGTAATTAAAACAGATAATATTCAGTAGTGCATTTATTACACACTAAATTGTTTTTATGCATTTATTTAGTTTATCGATTTAACAGTTTTGCTTGTCTTATTTTTTTCTTCTTCTATTTTGACCTCTAAAAATCAGTAAATAAAAACAGCAACACTACAAGTTATGTAATCTTTTATTTTAACGAGTTACAAGGCACTTAACATGAATAACAACGAATGCCTTTATTTATTTATCAATTTAAATCATAATTTTATCATTATTTATTAAGTTTAATATTTATTTGATATATATTTTTAGTGAAACAGCAAAGAAACCAAACCGGAAACTGCAATATTCTGACAAAGTGTAATTAATTATCTTTGTAACCAATAAAACAAACTCTGTGCTTTGTAATTAAATTAATGCCACAGTATTTTGGCAGCATGTGGAAACACTTTTAAAGAAGTTTACTTACCAATCAGAGGTTGGGCCCTGTGAGTATTTGGTTTGCATGACAGTGAAAACATATATTTCAGATATGGGAAAAAGGTGGAGAGCTAGACGATTTTGTTAGAAGAATGAGGGCAAAGATAGAAACACAATGTGTAAATGATGAAATCACTGGTGACCATGTGACGAGCAAACGTTCAACCAAATCTGAGCCCCTGTACTGTTAAAGATATCATCCCGATGCATTGATTGAAAAGTCGCTCTCTTCTTAAATCCTACTGAAAAAAATGGTATGATCACCAGCTACACCGACAGGGCGAGGGTGGAGGGGTTGATGGTTTTGTTCAGTATTTACTGAGCTTTTGTTCCTTTGTTGCTTTTTTAGAAACTGTGCTGTCTTCCTTTGTCTTGTCTTTGTGTCCCCTTTATTTCCCCTCTTAGAGATTCCAAGCCCTAAGCCTCATTCTTCATTGTGGTGTCCTTTGGTTCCCTGCATACTCGTTCTACTTAAAAGTACTCAATAGTTTATGGAGTATCTGCAATTTTTAAAAAAAGTAAAAAACATGTGTAATGTTTGCTGCAATATTGTTCTTTTTGATGTTTCACCCATAAATACAGGGCAGCTTTCTCATTTCTGTTGAACTGCTATGAGCAGAATTAACAGCTGTATCTGTCTTAACCTTTCCTGAACAGTGAACACGCCGAAAGAGCCAAACAGAAGATCAAAGCTATCACAGAGATAACAGTCTGACCTAGTAGCAAAACCTATGTAAAGTCAGATAACACTGGCTACCAGATCAAGTGAGGCAGTAAATTTTTAAAAAAGAGGCAGCTGAGTGCATTTTGTTACCTGATGGTGATGATTTTTCTGCTCATCATTTAAACGTTTGATTGTTTTTTCTCTGCAGATTTGCTCGGTCTGTGTTTGTGAGATTTCGTTAGACACATAAAGGTGACCGTGCTTGACTTCATTTGCACATTTTTTTAAACATCACATGTATTTTCTCTTTCTAACACAAAGAAAAGACCAAAAGTTCCTTGAATGTGTTTATTGTTGTTTGTCAGATAACACTTTTAGAGGTAAAATGTAACATGTAAGCCAAGAGCCCCGAGAGGCTCTTTCACAGATGTAAAATCTGTAACATGAGGTATTGTGTTTTCTATGTAGACATTAAAATCCACCTTGATTTAGCAGCAATCACTGATGACAAGGCAGAAGAAAATATCTGACACCTAGTTTTTATTCTAGTCCATTTACAGGGTCAGTTTTAAGCACGCCCGTGGATCAGACCGTTGATTTTCTGGCTTATCTGGGTCATCTGGGCCTCAAAGCTCCTCTTAAACTCCTCCAGGCTCTCCTGCATCTTCTCCTTTATCTCCTCTGTGTAGGGCACCATCTGAGCCTGCAGACGGTTCATTTTCTGCTCCAACTGCATCTTCAGCTCCTGGCTCTTCTGCTGCAGGGCAGCCTTCAGGGCCTCTGGGTCCTCAGCGTAGGAGGCCGTGTCTTTCTTCAGCTCCTCCACCTTGGCCAGCAGCTCCTCGGTGTAGGGCTGCAGTCGGGCCCTCACGGCTTCCAGATCCGTCTCCATTTGGGTCTTCAGCTTTTCTGCCTCCTGGGAGAACTTAGACATGAAGTCCTGGGCCAGAGGAGCCACCTGAGTGCGCAGGGTGTTGGTGACCGTGTTGATGGCATCAGTGCTTGTTGTAATGAAGGTGCTGCAGAGATAAGCAGAACTTTCAATTAAAACTTCTTCATCTTCAAGTTTTTTCTGTCAATATAAACTAAAGCCACTTGAAACACAAAATTCAAGCTTTTTAAGCACTGTAGGACTCTTACTTCATTTCCTGTCCCATTTCGGACTCTCTGATCTTCTTCAGGGACTCCTCAGCGGTCGCGGTTACCTTTGCAACGTAGTCCCAGAAAGCATCTTTCACCATTTCAGCCTTCTGTTTGGGCTGGTCGTGCCATGTGACGTTGGCATTGCAGCCAGCTACGAGAAATGAGGCAAAAGCATTTCTCATTCACTGTTGTTTGTGAATATCATGAATACTTCTTGATCAACGATAATGGATGAGAAGTCTCTCACCAGTGAAAACAGCGAGGACGAGAACCACGAGGACCTTCATGTCTGACGCAGCACCTGTAAAGAAACTCAGTAAAATTAACAGTTTGTGGTGATTTTTGTCAGAGAAGGCAACAAATCTCACTGCTGTCCTACCTGGTGCACCTTCTGTTCAGTCTATCAGCTGCTGAATGCTGTGTGTGCTGTCAGGACTCAGTATATATAGGCAGCCGGTCGTGTGGAGGAATCAGGAGTAAAGTCCAGCGCTGAGTGCTGTTCTGTCATGGCTGCTTCCACATCACAGGAGTGCTAACAGTGTCACTGCACACATCTTTCAGAGCAGCATCTGACCTCTCTCACTGCTGACATGACTGACATTTTGGTGTTTATTTTGGAAATCTACAAATTCACACATGATCAGAACTTTAATTCAATTTTACATCATGTTTTTTGATCTGATCAACTCTGTGAGGCTTTCTGTTTTCTGCATACAAACATCTGTGGGTTGGCACTGAATGGAAACTCCTTTTTTCTAGTGCACAAAAAGGTTTTTATAAACTCTTTCATTTAACAAACTATTATCACCAAAAAAACCTCCAAGACTGGTTGAAATCAAAACTTTGATGCTCTAAAGACGCCAAAGGAAGCACACTGGTGCTGAAAAGAGAGAGGACAACACTTCCACTAAAGGCAATGGTGCGGATCGCCTGCTGGGGCCATAACTAGACAATAAAAGCAAGTATCACACAATTCTTTAATTTAAAAAAACAGACCTAACATGCAGAATTGACAACAAAGGGCAGGCAGGGGGTGAACAACAAAGACTAATACTTACATAATCACTAATAAAACATACGAAACAAAGAGAAAAGAACTACATTTTGATACAACATAACACAAGTCCAACAGTGTTATTGTGTAATAGGTTAGAATTAGAGAAAAGGAAAACAACAAAGATAGATGAGACCATGAGGAGCAAACCCTCAAAATTAATATATAATAAATAAATAATGAAACAGTTAACTCACTGAGACAACACTGAGATGTAGAGAGGGGGAGGAAGAAAAGGGGAAACACTTCAGAGCAAGGAAGGAAGGACAGTAAAGAAAGTAAAACTAAGCATTAAAACACATAAATCAATTAATGTTTCTTTCAATTCATCCTCTGAGGGGATGTTGGAGCCACATGTTGTGTTGGTTTTTAACACATTTCCATGAGCCAGACTAGCATCGTCACCATCGTCTTCATCTTCTTCTCCCAGTGATTTCCAGTCCTGCAACAGTTATTCTACTGCACCGGAAAATCAGGAAGTTTCCCCTACTTTAAAAAGTTATGCAAACTTGTTTCCTTAAAAAAACAACAACAACAAAAACAACTAAGTACAGTTCACATACTTTGACGCAGGACAGTCATGGTAAGGGAACTCTTTCACTGTACTTAGAGTAATTTAATTTCTAACAACTGGCAAATATTTGTCTGGAACTAATTCATTTGTACTCCTAAATGAGAAAAATCAAGTTAATCTAAATGTCCAGCTAAGTACTGGCAACTTTAAGAAAAAGAAGTTTTTCACTTGTTAAATTGATTTATTTACAGTAGTGGATTAAAAGAGCAGCTAAATACTTCCCTAAAAATTTTCATTTAAAACATATTATTGTTTTTGTTAAAGCCTTAATGCTATCTTTATTTTAACTTAATTTTAATTATCTGCTTCTTTTTCTTCTTCTTTTTGCTGCTATCCATCCACAGACCTTCTCTGAGGTTTCCCTCCAGCCTGGCAGCTCCATCTAGTGAGAGAAAACTAGAATTTTTATGAGTTACACATTAATAATCAAGTTGACCATGTAAACAGTCGAGTTTCTACCTTTTCTCTATTGTACATATGTAACTGACCCATCTGGTTTTACAGATTCACTTCATCACAGAGTCTCAATAAAGGTTGAAGAAAAAAAAAACTTTAAGCATTGTTTTGATTTTAAAGTGAGAAACAGTAGATGTAATTTGTTTTACTGCAGTGCAAACAGCGTGTGTCACAAAGAAATCTCAGGTCAGTCAAGTGTGAGTCAGACTTGGTGCCCTCTGATCTGAAAATTATCTTCACTAAAGAACGTCCTTTGGCTGTTCCCTCTCAACAAACTGATAAGAGAAGCTAAAGTCTTCCTCTCAGGACAAACTGCTGATAAACACCACGCTATATATATATGTATTATTGATATGTATTATAGTTATATATTTATAATATATATATATTATATTTTAATAATATATAATATATATATATATATATATTAATATATATATTATAATTAAAATTAAGTATATAGTACAGCTATTATATATATTATCAAAGCTATATATATAATAATATATATATATATATATTATAGTGTGTTGATTAATATATATAATATATTAATATATACAGCTTTACAGCTACCTTCGTAGCTGTAAAGCTGTGTGGTCAATGAGTCTTGCTTTTATTAGTCTTTCACTAACTTCACATACTGTATATGTAAATATTTCTTTAATTTCTCTCACAGTATAAAGCCCTCACTATGTGCATATTTTTATTCTTTATTCTGCTGCTGTAGCACAGTAATTGTGGGATCAATAAAGTATCTGTCGAGCCATCAAAAAGCCATAGACTGTATATAAAAGACAGAAACCATTCATGTGCAAGATCAGGTACAAAGGTCCAGAAAGTGGTACAAAAATAACTTGAAGAAACATTAATAGTTCATAATTCCTGGATTTGTGGTATATGAAGCGTGCTATATTCATTTAGTTAGGTTTAAATTCATTAACAAAGTGTCTGAGAGTTTGCTTGTTGGTCTCTGAGATCAGATGGGCAGATATTTAACACACCGATCAGCACAAATAGTAGTAGGCATCCACTAATTAGGGCAACAGAAGACTTCTTCACCTCTGAAAATCCACCAGTGGTTAAAGTTTGGGTTCAGTTAACATCCAACCATTGTTATAGACTTTTCACTTGGTTTATGTCAGTTTGTTTCTATTTCACATGTAACTTTAAAAGTCTAATTTGTCCCAAATTTCCATTAACATTGTCTCAGAAGCCACGAGCAGAACAAAAACGGTAAATAGGTGCAGTTCAGTGACTCATATCAGTGGAGGTGAGGTCAACGGCTGCTTGTGTTGGCGCACCTGTCAGTCAAAGCGGCCACTCCCCTTAACTCTAAGCCTTTAATAAAATCCAAATAGATGACTAAATAAAAATAAAAGAAAGACCATACAGTTGGTGTAAACCAACCAAAGAGACCCAAAACAATTTTTGTACCAGTCTCGTCTTTATTTCATCACTACAAATAAAGACTTAAACATGGTGGTCTATGGAGGAAATCTAGCCAGCCTCAAATGGAAATTACAGGAGAGGCAACCTGGTTTTCCTGTGTTTCTCCTGAAAAAAAAACTTTCACGAGTTGTTTTCTGCTGCACGTGATTCTGTTTAGGATGTTCAAACCTAAAGAAAAACTACTCTAACCAAGCCAGATTCCAGTAAGCCTGTATCATAAGATATGGAAACACTAAGATTGTGACGTGGAGTCACAACAGTGACAAGAAACTGTCCAGCGGGGCAACCAGAGGAGGACTTTAACCTTCAGCGTCGCTATAAAGCCCGCGAGCGGTCGTCTGCACAGCACAAACCATCAGACAGTGAAGAAGAGACAAGCTGCATCTGTAAGGTAAAAGATCTTATTTCAAACTATATATTCTTAAATCAACCAGTAAATCCAGCTTTAAACTAAGCACCTGTTCTCTTCATCCAACAGCATCAACTTCAATCATGAAGACGCTCATCGTTCTCGCTCTTTTCTCCGGTGAGTAAATCTTCCCTTCAAATTAAAAGCAGAACCCATTTTAAATCACAGCTGATCAAATTAACCGTCTGCTTTCATCCACAGTTTGCAACGCCAACATCCTGTGGCCAGAGCCTCCCAAGTCCAACCTGGAAGTGGTGAAAGATGCCTTTTGGGATTATGTTGCAAAGGCCACACAAACTGCTGAGGAGTCCCTGAAGCAGATCAGAGAGTCCCAGCTGGGAGAGGAAGTGAAGTAAGAGTCAGCATGAGGAGTCTGAAGAAGTACAAAATATTTACATATATTATATGTTTTCAGTTTAATAACTTCCTGTTTCTGTGTATCAGCACCAAGATCTCTCAGAGCGCCGACACCGTGAATCAGTACGTCGCTACGCTGCACACTCAGGTGGCTCCTTTGACCCAGAACTTCATGACTCAGTTCTCCCAGGAGGCCGAGCAGCTGAAGGCTCGCCTGGAGAAAGACCTGGCCGCTATGGGCACCAACGCAGAGGAGATGGTGGCGAAGATCCAGACCAAGGTGGATGAGCTGAAGAGTGGAGCTGAAGCCTACGCTCAGGCCATGGACCCAGAGCCCATGAAGGTCGTCCTGCAGCAGAAGAGCCAGGAGCTGAAGGAGCAGCTGGAGCAGAGCATGAGCCAGCTGCAGGCCCAGATGGTTCCCTACACCGAGAACATGAAACAGAAGATGGAGCAGAGCCTGGAGGAGTTTCAGAGGAACATGATGCCCCTGACCCAGAGCTTTGAGACCCAGGTGGCTCAGAAAACCCAGGAGATCCAGCAGAGGTTGGCTCCCTATGGAGACGAGCTGAGGGAACGGCTGGACTCCAGCGCTCAGGACCTGCAGACTCAGCTGAACGCCCTGTGGAAAACCTTCACCAAGATCGGCCAGTAAATGGACTCTGTCTCAGTCTTAAGCCTTAAGCGCTTTCTCTGTATCACAAACCAAATATTTATTTCATCTTCACTCCTGTCTGTTTTATGAAATAAAAATCCAGAATTTCTGCATTATTCTGCGTCTTGATTATCATTAAAGGTGTGTCAGTAATTCAACGAGCATCTTTAATTTCTGAAAAGCTTTACTCGTAAACAGATACTTTGCATACTTTGCAAAGGACCTTTTGGTGGGCCAAAGGTTTGACACCCTCCATCTAAAATAGCATAATGTATCGCTCACCTACAGATTAGCAGTAGCAGGTCAATAACTATTCATCATAAGTAAATACCAAGCTTCAGTGGCGCTCATATATGTACTGGTATACATGTTAAGCTTTAAATGTCACTGGAGGAGTGCAATTTGTCATGATGTTTATGTTCTATAGGCTGATAATCCTGAAGGATCACTATTTTCATACCAATTAAACATTCTGCATCTCTCATGTCTCAAATTGAAGCATCTATATCTATTATTTA